CTGCAACATTCTGTTGCATTTTTTCCTGTCAATTCTCAGTCTGATGGAAGAGGATTTGCCTTTGAAATTTCTTTTAAAGGAATATATACATTTATAACTCTCATGATTGGGTGGTGGTTTCTTCCACTTATGTAGTGATTTGATGGTCAGGAGATTTGTGTCACTGTCCCATAGTTTCTTATGCAGTGTTCTCTCTGATTTCACACATTTTCATTAAGTCTTAAAGAAGAATTGAATAAGGGAACAAACGAGGAAAACTGTGAATGTATTTCACAGAGGAAAAACATCTGCAAAAATTGCATTGCAAGGCAGGTTTTGATACAGAATTACTTTGGCCTAGATCTCTTTCAAGGTTGCCATTCCACCATGCCATTGTATGCATAGTGTCTTAAGAGTCATAAAAAGAGCTATCATATTTTAATTTCACATTTATGTTTTCTCCATTTTTGAAATCGTACCACCATGACTCCATACCTGGATTTATTTATCCATTTTTTTCTATCTATTTTTGAATAACCTAACATTCAGTCTGAAAAATGCAGTTATATAAAACTTGTTGCCCTTTTTGTAGATTTTTGTTGATTTTAATAAAGGCATTAATTATCCTGTCATTTTATTTCTTAATACTAATTTGCAAAGCTGCTGTAAACATTTTATTAATTGACCAATTCACTTTAAAGGTTATGTTTCTTCCACTCCTAGCTTTTTTTATTGCAAAACTGTGCATCATCAACTTCTCCAGCAACTTTGAACTCAGTCAAAACCAAAATAGAATGGAGAATCACTAAGCTGTGTATTGTTTGATTGGTAGAACTCCAAAGAGAACAGTCTTTTGTTATCTTCCATTTGTTGAAAAGTCTTACATTGAGAAAAAATCCTGAACAATAAACCCAGCAACATCTTTTAGTGCTGATATTGTTAATGCTAGGATTTCTTTGGGTGTAGGGGACACTGTGCAGAATAATTTTCTAATATTTTAAACCTTATTCTAAAAGTGGTTTTTACTAAGAATAAAAATCTTTTGATAGCCTCAATTTGAATGTGAGGCATTTCTTGACCGTTTTGATCCTTCAACAGAATAAACATTTGGAAATGTTTGTTAATTTCCTAAAGTACACTAATAAATAATATTTCTGTACTAAGATCTTCACATTCACCTTCTGTGTGAGTTTGTGATTTGCTTTAGCCAGATGGCAAGGAAACTTCTATCTGAATAAACATAAGGACAGAAATTCTCCTTTTATTTCCATGGATTGTATGGCTTGAGAGATAGTACTAGAAGGTCTTAAGTTACATTTTTCTATTTCTTCACTCCTATTTTCCTGTCATAACTGTGAAAAATCATGGGCATACATAGGATTTCACACTTAGTGCTTTGTCCTCAAATCCTTCTGATAAGCATATAATGCAAGGAGAGACAAAAAGAGTAAAGGGATTTGTGGGCAAAGAAATATCTTAATTTACTTATTCCAGTTTTCATTGTTTCTCTAGATCAACTTCCTCAGTCTGGAAGTTCTGAAGATGGGTAGACTTGAGAGCTCAGAATTTTCAGCAGATGCCATGCTTCCTGGAAAATTCTGGGAATTTGAAGTCTACCTTTCTGGACAGAGGAACAGGTGGGGAAGGCTATTTGGGGTGTTTTGTCCTACCAATCTTTGGACATGTCATCTTGGGTGATAAGTAGTATATGTCCACACATCTGGAGAATGTTGGAAAAAGTTGATGCATTCATTCTTTAATTTAAGTCTTTCATTCAAGGTAGGTGATGCAGTTGAACGATACTGTGATTTCCTATCTTTTCTGTTATTTTCAAGATGAAAAGGGAACATGAATTAAGCACATTCGTACTGTTCATTCTGGACTTTTTGATTCAGGGTTAATAATTAAGAAAAAAGATCAGTTTATTTGTCTTTTTTTCATTCATTCTGAAACAGTTGCAGTGGCTCTCTTAAGATTTGGCTCCAAACATCAGGACTGGAACATTTCTCCATTTCATTTTCTTGAGTTTTTGCTAGCTCACTGCTTGAGGTGGGTTTTTCTTTCAACATTCTCATTACCATCAGTGTCTATGCCCTATTAAAGACTATAACCACGAGAGACTCTTTATTATTTCCATTGGTGATTGATGGTCCATGAAGAAAACAGCAGGAGCTCCAGAACTTTTGAGGCCTCCCTGGAGCTTATGGAATCTCATATCGTCTCTTCATTTTGCTTTGCTCATGATCTCCTCTCTTCCCTTCATCGTTCTTGATAGGAGACCTCATTTTGCATGCATTTTGCAACCCCCACCTGCCGTTTTTATGTTACGTTTAGAAAAAATGGGATGAGATTATTTCTTTTAAATCACTCCCATCTTTGAAAAAGCAATGCTGAAACTGGGATGCTTGCTGCTATCTGTCATCAGTCTAGCATACATTTCAGAAGAAATACATTGATGTTTTTAGCTGCCACTGTTAATTCCTTGTTCTCCAGTCCCACCTGGATAAAATCACACACATGCAAGATCCAAACATGTTGGGCAATCCCTGTTAATTTTGGCCCTAACCTTGGACCTACTTTGATGTCCTTGCTTTACTTGCAGATGTCTACAAACTGACCTGTGCATATAGGTATTGACATTATTGGGATCCCTGAGTAAAGAATGTCTCTAGTTGCATGATGCTTGGTGTACACAGGTTGTTTGGTTTCCTCTGTTCTTGGGCCCTGGATATTAAGATTATTTGGAGCCCTTCTCTGTTCTCTTGGGAAAAGACTCTAGTTTAGGAATTGTTATAGCCTTTCTAAAAAATTTCAGGTACCAGTTAAATCCTTCCTCAAATTATGATGAGCTTCACAAACCTGAAATTCATCACCAGCTTGGGTTGGTCTGACTTGAAGAAGAATTGCCAGTTTCATTTATAGAAGTGTAATGGATAATCATACTCTTTAAAGTTACATGGAGAAAAAAGCTAAGAGGCTGCAGAGACAAGTATTAAGGAAGGAGTAAAGATGTTCCATGAGTGTTCCATGAGAGATGGATTCTCCTTTTGATTCTAACCTTATAGCTAACTTGCTTCTTCTATCTATCCATCCATTCAACTTTTAAACTGCCCTATGATTACAGTTCTTTCAGCAGCTTTTTTAAAAAGTGGAGTGCAAACTTCTTATAGCTGTTCTCCTTCACTGTAATCAACTGAACCTTCTTTTTATAGAAAAAATTTAAACACTATACTTAGAGGTCCAGTGGTGAGTGAGGAAAATGTGGCTTGTCATTAATGCTCAGTAGCCTAGCTTCTCATATCTGGCAAACGGAACTGAGATATCTCTATATCTAGAGGCTATTGAAATGTGTTGCCTTATCCCAATTGTAGACTGTCTGCAATATCTACCTACTCTTTTCTTCTATCATGTTGGTTCTGCCAGAGGGGTGGGGAGAGGTATTTTGTGAGCATTCAATATTTCTCAGCCATTTTTACTGGCAATACATTCTTGTATTTTTCTTTTTAGAATTCTGTTTCAGTGTTAAATGCAAACGCTGATAATATTTCCCCATGACTGGATTCCTATCTAGGATAAATTACTTATAGCATTTGTTTTCCTCTCTAGAAGAACTTAATTATAGATTAATGCAGCTTGGGAAGTAGCAGGATGTTTTGTCTGTCGAGTCTCAAATATATCTTCTTCTAGGATATTTGAGTCCAACTTATTTTACCATTCATTTTTTAAGCTTGCTGTTTTTAGACCAACCTTCAGCAAAGTTGCCATGGCAAGGCATGATCAAAATAGTAAAATATCAGTAGAAAATATTTAAATATATGTAGTCAAACAGAATAGAACAGTAGCTTTAAAAAGCCCCTTGTGCAGTCTTAGCAAATAATAAAACTGACATATTATTGGCTTTAACATTTGAAAAGCCTAATTAATAAGTATTTAATACTAATTAAATAATAATTTTATTTTAAATAATTTTAATAATAAAATAAATAAAAAGAAAGTATTTAACCTGGTTCTAAGTAATAATAATATAAATAATAAAAGTAAGAAAAAATAACCCAGTAACATCTTTGAAAAAGGCACATTATAAGTGGATCCAAACAAGAAGGCTTTTTCTCCACTTGCTACCTGTCTAACTAGATGGTGAGAAAATCCAGAGAACTTCTAGAAGGCAAATGAGATCTGCCAGAAATATGTCCACAATACCTTAAATTGAAATAAAAGAGTTTCTGCTTTCAAGAGGGTAACATGTGATCTAATGGGCTTAAGTCACAAGTGGATAAGGTTTTGCTTGGCACCTAGAATTACAGAATCATAGTTGGAAGGAAGCTCAAAATAATTCAGTCTAAAGCAAATGTAAGGATGCCCTTAAATTGAGCTCAGCTTCTGGTGACCATATCCAGGGAGGTTTATTGATTACACAAGTGGTTTGCCATTATCTTACTGATGTTCTTTTGATTTCCCAGTCTAGCCTACAGCCTTGGAATTCCAGGTCATCCCCATTCTGATTAGCTTTCAAGATCAGTCTAGGTAACCTAGGTATTGTCATCTGCTGAGCTTCTTCCAAATGCTGGAAACCCATTATCATAATGCCCTCAAAGATGACTATCTGGCAGTGCTTATCAACAAGTTAGGAAGGTGAGTCTGTATATTTTCAGAACAGTTTGTTCTGCTGCAAAGTTAATTCCATCAGTTCTTTCCCTGTTTTGAAACTCTGCAACTTCTGGATTGTTGAACCACTGTTACTATGAATCAACAACCTGGAGATTGTAGATGGACTTTGAGAATCTTTTGGGAATGCTCTAATTTTGGATTTTTTAATATCAAAATCTGTAAGCCCCTCACTAAATGCAATGGTTCTCTGAAATAGTGTGAAAAAGATATTTCAGCTGCAGAAATATCTATAACTTGTGATCCTTTTACACCCTTTATAATTGTCTGTATTTTGTTAGGATTCATTTTCTGTACCTTTCTCAGGGCTAAGATGCTGTTTTTACTATTGATGTGTCTCTGCATCTCTTTCATAGCTGGCTGCACATTTGAAGAAGATGGGGACCTAAATCAGTGTGAATACAGCCAAGGTGTTGAAGATGACTTTGAGTGGGAGCTGATCCGGAGCTATCTCCTTCCCCATTTGACCTCTGATCTTCCTCATGGTAAGTATGAGTTCCTTAATTTGGGTGAATACTTTTACACTGACAATGAGAGGCAGATAAACAATATGTCTGGAGAGATCAATCATGCTATGTCAGGAACAGTAAGTGTAATGGTATGTGGGAATGACCTTGGTAGACAGGGCAATGAGATGCAACCAAGGGAACAGTCAGATAAAAGGCAGCTTAGCCTGCAGGAGGAATGTGGAAGGGGCAAGAGGCTCAGAACAGACCTTCCCTAGTTTTTGGGCTGTAAAGGAGATGTGGAGGGGGAGGGGGAGAAGTACTTTCAGACTTGCAAGATTCTGTTAATGTTACCTTGCAATAAAGTAGAATTAGCTCATCTGGTTGTGTTTCCTGTCTGATGTACCTCGTAAGGCTGACAGTAAGAGATGTATCGGAGGTCAGCTACTGTGCCTGTTTTGCATGCATAGTTGTCCCCAAAGGCACACTTGGTAGTTTTCTTGATGGCATTTCCTGAAATGTGCAATTCTCTGTTGGAAGATATTTTTTATTTGAGTTTCATTGGCAACTGAAGACATTTCTTTTTGACATTTCTCTTGGTTTTTGTTTATTTTATTTATTTATGACCAGTTTTGATGTTTGTGATTCTTTGCTATTTCTTTTGTCTTGTATTTTTCCAACGAAGTGTTGGTTTCTGTTCTTTTTACATTCTGTCTTCTATTCTGAATGGCTCTTTTTTATTGGAAAGGTGAAGCAGGATATGCACCAGTAGGTGGCAGTACCTGGCTGATTTTGCTAGGCTTAGAAGCTAAGCAGGGTTCAAGTGCGATCCATATTTTGTTGAGAAATCATCAGGAGGTCCAAAACTGTAGGGTAGAATGGAAAGTCAAAATGCATCCAATAAGAAGTTAATGGCAAACCACTTCCAAAGAGCCAGTGTGGTGTAGAGATCAAGGTGTTCAACTAGGACTGGAAGCTGGGTAACTTTGAGCCAATCACTGTATCACAGCATAACCTTTCTTACATGGCTGTTATTGGAGAAAGTTGAAGATTGGAGTGCTATGTAGGCCACCTTATGCTCCTGGAGGAAATATGACATATAAAACAAACAAACAAACAAACAAACAAACAAATGCTGCCAAGAAAACTTCCATGAAGGCACCAGGAGCTTGACTCAAAGGAGACTTTATACTAATGGGGGATATAAAGTCTTCAGAGAAGTGCCTCTAATGTATGCACAGAGAGTCTGTCTGCAACTAACTTTTCTGGACTTTTGCTTATCTCCCTAAATATTTTTATGGAAACTGGGAACCATTATCCAACCTTGAATGAGATTTGATGGAAGCTACTCCATTTTCCTTGAGATCAAGGTCACCAGTCTTTTTGTGAACTGGAAACTTGGTGTGACGAAAGGCAGAATTGATAGGCCTGAATCGTACTCATGGTAGAAGTTGACAAAGACTTTCATAGCTTATGAAGTGAGAAAAATTGTAAGGCAACTGAAGGGTGTGCTGTAGCTTTGCTTCAGTTATCCATGCCACAATAACTGACTGTTTAGACTGCTGCAATGCATTTATATGAATTGGTGCCAAAGGAAATCTGTAAACTTCATTTAATTCAGTGTGGGATATGTGAGTACCTCACCTCAGTGCTTTATCATGAAGGGCCCTGAAAGATCAAGCACAGTTGTTGCTGTGTTCACACATAACATTAAGCCAGGATACTTTAACATGTCGTAATTGCAGAAACCATACAGTCCTGGTTTACACATCAGAAAACTTAATTTGCATTGTACAAATGAATCATATGGTTTGCTTTTTTTTTTTAGCGTAACATGTAAACCCAGATAGCATAACTGTGTGCCATGTGATACAGGAAAACATGACTTGCCAACAAAACTTGATTAAAGATCCTGACTTGGTTTTTTGCGTGCATAGCATTTGCATCTTTTAGATCCATTTATGAATTGGGACCAGGGTATCTGAAGGAATTGCCCTCTGTGCACATTTTTGTTATAGCCTGAGATTGTCTTCAGCAATCTTTCTTTCTGAACCCCAGCCAGGTAGCTAGTAGACAGGGTCTTTGAAGTGAGGGTGTTCAGGAGGGGTCAAGAGATGCCTTTTTATTCTTGTCACTTCAATCAAATAAACATGGTTTGATTGAATAAATAAAAAATAACCAATTCCGGTTTTGGGGTAGTCACCCCATCCTGAACAAGATGAACTGCATCATTTGTACCCTCCTTTTGTGGCAGGGGGGTGTAACCTGTTCTCCCCATATGTTGCTGAGCTCCCAACATTCCCCACTATAGGAAGGGCAATTGGAGACCACACAGGAGTTAAATGACCCTCATGCTTTTAAATTACGAGAATGATGAATTGCTTCCTGAATTCTTAGTGAGATGCATTATATCTTGGTTAGAAGAAACAAATCTTTTTGTGTAATTCTGATATGCCCATATACTTTTTGACAAGCATCTGGAGCAATTTGCTGCTGAATAAAAGTTTTGCAAATGATATAAAGATAGAGGCAACTAAAGAGGAATACTGATGAGGACTTGGCAGGCACACACAGTACAATGTAGACTGCTTGGTAAGCTTAACTTGTTCCAACAATACATGCATTTAAGGTAGCCAAACACTTAAGGTCATGTATCTAAGAATGACAATATAGGTAATTTCCTGTGGATTATATTTTAAAAAGTCAAGACACTCTGGAAAGGATTTAATGGCCACTGGCCTTTGGCCTTTACAAACTTTTTATTTCCATCCCACTAGGCAATTATTCTCCTCAGCTTGCAATTAGTTTCTTTCCATACAAGCATACTTTCTTCCACCCTGGTAGAGCTGTCGCTGAAGAATAACCTTTGTAGTGTTCTCTGTTAGGAAGTTAAGGTGTTGCTAATATTAAGTTTGATTATTTGTTCATCTGTCTCAAAGAATTGGCACCTCAAGGTCTATGGACTGCATATAGCCTCTGGCTCCCATTGTGTGCTTCCTCAAATGCTTCGCCCTGCTGAAAAAAAATTACAATTTTGATTTCTTCAAAATAGGTATACACATCTATCTTTTAAACCCCCAACCTTCCCCAAAGTGCATGCGCTTGCGCTCTCTCTCTCTCTCTCTCTCTCTCTCTCTCTATATATATATATATATATAGATATACTATAC